CCAGGTTCTTCTTGGACGTGTGGTGGGAGGTGATGAAACACAAGGAGGGACAGGAAGACGCAACAGTCTCTGCATTCAGCGCTCTCATATGTCAGCATAGGTGTCAGTCCTCTCTGGACGATGGTCTCCAGCCCCCAAAGAGATTCAAGGGTGACCCTGGCTCTCTGAATGATGGCCCTGCTGCCACCAGCCTGCTCATGATCCTGGTAGAGGGGTTAAAGCAAACCTACAGGAGCATCGCCCTGCCCCACATGAGGTGCTATGCCTTGGCCAACCTGGTGGAGCTGCTGTCTGTGTTCACTGAGCTAGAGCTGGAGGGCAGCGCTCTCCCTGTCGCAGAGTACCTGGACAAGATCAGCTCTGTGGTCAGCCTCTGGACCAGTGACACTGAAAGCGAGTACCACCACAGCAGGCTGGATGAGAAGGTGAAGGAAGCGGAGAGAAGCATGAGCCTCTTGTCTGTGGCCAAGCTGTCTCGTGAGGAGCTCTTTGTTGGCTTGGACTTTCTCTGCAGGTTGTTGCATGCCTGGGGAGAGGAGCTGCAGGGCACCCTGAACAGCTCTGAGGAGCTCTGCTATGAGAGCTACCGTCTCCTGGACACTCTTACCAGCTTTGGGAATAACCTTGTTTGCTTCTCAGAGACTGGAGATCTGGGTGAGGATGAGGCACACGTAGTGTTAGAGCTGACGCAGATCACCAAGGACTTTCTCAAGGAGATCAGCGCCAGCCTGAAGAGCAAGAATGCGGACACCAGCCTTGTGTCTTCAGTTGCCATGACAATCATTGAGCAAAAGCTGGACCGGCACATGGACATGTGCTCCATTTTTGCTTCTGAAAAAACCTGGGCCTTTTCAAAGGACTGGGTTGACTGCCTTATGAAAAGCAAAGCTCTCTTCCAGAAACCAGAGCTAGTTTTGAAATTGCTGGAGACACTGGTGAACTTTGCCATGTCCCGCCAAGACAAGGAGGGCCGAGAGCTGCAGTTGCAAGTGACCAAAGCCATCGTGGAGTGTTACACTGAGCTTTCATTAACCGACAAAAACAAAGTGATCTCGGGTGTCCTGGTGTCCTGGGGTGGACCAGGCCTGTCCTTGAAGTTGCGGGTTGTCATGGAGGGGTTCCAGGAGGATCTGAATGTGACTTTCAACCAGATCACAAAGAGTGTGTCTGATCAAGGCCTGACCAGGGCTGTGGCTTCTGTGGCCAGGCTCATGCTGCTGTATCCCGAGGCCACGGTGAAGCAGGTTTGTAATCTTGCTGTAGTCAACCTAGGAGCGCATCAGTTCCTTGCGCAAATCCTCTGCTCCTTCCCAGCGCTGAACTTCCTGGAGACCCACAATGATCCTGGTAAGCCACGCAGCCTGGTGGTGAGGTGTCTGGAGGAGGCAGTATGGGGGAGGCTTTCCACTGCAAGGGAAGAGGAGCAGTTCCTTGAGTACCTGGCCTTTCTCCTGCAGCCAAGCTCAGCTGCCCCGCTTGTGTCACCTGCAGAGGTGACAAAAGCCTTTGTCCTTCCCTATTTGAAGTCAGACTCTGCTCAAATTGAGCTGAGCCTGCAGATCCTCAGTAAGGTTTTGGGGATACAGTCTGGTTCAGAAGAACACTGGATCAAGTCCTGTCACCCGTTCCCACTTCTCCTCAGCCTCTGCAGGCTTCTAGATGGTTACACGAAGTACTGGCATCAGCCTAGGGACCAGCTCTTCCCTTCACTGGAGACCAAAGACCTGATACTGAACATCCTCTGCCAGCTCTGTGAGGTGGTAAGACCAGAAACTGCCCCCTCCCCTGAGCTGTGGGTCCAGTCGCTGGCATGGCTTCACAGGAAGGTGGCATCACTGGACTGGACCATTGGTCTCCGGCTGAAGAAGCTTTACGGAGACCACTTCAAGAATGAGGTCCCGGCGACACTGTTTGAGATCTGCACGCTTCCCGAGGACGAGTGGACGTCCCAGGTTTTGCCAGCTTATGGACCGGGCAGCGGGCTCCTGGCATGGATGGAGTGCTGCTGCGTGTCCACAGCACTCAGGGAGACGATGCTGATGCTCCTCACAGTCAACGTGGATAACCCTGAAGAAGTGAATCTTTTCAGCAAAGGGTTCTTAGTGGCTCTCATTCAGGTCCTCCCTTGGTGCAGCCACAGCGAATGGAAGAGGCTCACACACGTGGTCGAAAACCTGCTGCAGAGGCAAGTCTTGCACGTGCCGTACACACTGGAGTACGTGCAGTACATGCCCTTGCTCAACCTCCGGCCGTTTGCCTGCTACCTCCAGTTCTCCGTGCTCTTCCTGCGGGGCTTCCAGCTCCTCTGCAGCTCCAGCTGTTCCACCTGGCTGCCGGCAGAGGCTTGGCTCCACGTGGTCCAGCTGTACTGCAGCAGCCTGACAGACCTGCTGGGCTCCGTCAAGAGCGCTGCAGAACCCACCTCGCACCCCACCCAGGACAGGACCTCCACACAAGAGGTGTCCTTCATCTGCATCCAAATGTTCTGCCACCTGCTGCACGTCGCCGCCATGCTGCCAGACAATGGGTGCAGTGAGCCGCTGGTGGTGGTGGCACTGGAGCTCCTCTCACAGTACGAGATGTTCAGCAGCGCTGATACATCCCCCAGCAACACGCTGCGGAGAGCCAACGAGAGGCATTTCCTGGAGTCCATCATGGACAACGTCAGTGACCAGGCACTGCGTGGCACCCTCCTGCAGAAGCTCAGCAAGCTTGGAGCCCGCTCGGCCGGGGAGCCGGCTTGAGAAGCTGGAGAGAGCAACAGAGGAGAGCACGGACCCTGCCTCCGGGGACCCCTTACGTGGAAAGCTGTAAGATCTGTAATAAACCCTATCTATTTTTCTCTTTTGAACTTACTTCCCCCTTGCAGTGTTTCTTCCAACCTGTCTAAGCAGTGAAGGGGGCCATGTAAAGATGGGTAGCAGCAACCGCTGTCTATTTTTCCAGTGGGAATAGCTGTGGACACAGCTGTCCATGAGCCGAGCTGCCAGCCCCGTGGCTCCAGCCTGCTGGCGGTCTGGATTTATACAGAGAGCCCGGCAGCCTCTGGCATAAGGGAAATCATTCCCCTCCGGCTCCCCTGCTGCCAGTCCTTTCCTAGTCCTGGGTGGATTGCTGGGTTCGCCACGTGCTGCTGGAGGCCGGGAAGCGAGTCAGGCGAGTTCAAGACGGGCAGGAACCTTTGGAAATATGTGTGCGTTGCTCCTGCCCAGAGGTAGGTGCAGCAGTAACCCCGTGCATTAACATCCCCCACCCAGAAGTGAGCGGCACGTGGGAGATGTTCAGTGGTGTGACTCAGAAAGGAAATGTTTATTGGTCTCCTGATAGTAAAATAGAACAGTGTTAGTGCAAACTGAGATGCCTCGTTGGCTTTTTTTTTTTGTCCTTACGTAAGGCACAATACTTGCAATGAAAACGGTGAGATACAAACATCTGTGACAGGTTGCAAGCGGTTTATAACATTGGCTGGTCTGGATCGTTAATGTAAGAGCAGTGTTTCTGCAATAACCAACCGCATGTTGGAAGAGGCCCTTTATTTTATTCTTTCCAGAATAAAGCTGTGGCTGGGACAAGATCTGGCACCCAAAGAGCTCAGGGGTTGTTTTTAGACAGAATGAAAGGCACAGAGTGGCCACGGGTCTCCGGGCGCGGGGGCTGCTGGGGCCAGGCTGGTGCAGTACCTGCCCTGGAGCAGGGGACACCCAGGCAAGTGCGGGAGGCTGCAGGGAAGAGGTGGCTGCCTTGGCTTGCGCTGGCTGCAGGGAAGGAGCTGAACTGCTGCTGTCTGACTTACACACACCTGCCGTGGGTGCGAATGCCATGGTGCAGGGTGGGCTGGGAAGCCTGTACCCATTTTGCTGTGACTGAAGGTGGAAGTGGGCTGAACTGGTGAAGGACACAGCTCAGCGCCCTGCTCTGGGGTTGCTGGTTCCTCCTGCACTGAGCCAGTTCCCTCCCTGCCAGACCTTGCCTTGCGGGGGAGTGGGACGGGGAGGGAGGGATGGATTATACAGCTCAGGCTGTACCGGTACCAGTGGGGTGCTGCCAGGGCTGCTGGTGCCAGATGGAGGGAGAGCAGGGCAGGGCATGCCAGTCAGGCTTTCAAATACCTGCTGCGAGGAGGTGGGGCAGATAAAAGCAACTGCAGTTAGGGGAGCGGGTGGAAAGTTGCGTTGCCTGCCAACGAAGGGCTCTGCATAGAGCCCAGAGACAGGGACTCGGCAGTCTCCTCTCCCCATCCTGCCCTTCAGCCATGGGTGCTCTGCCCTGCCAGCGTTGCTCTGAGACAGCGTAACCATTCCTCTATCCTGGCGTGAGCTTCTCCTCTCCAGCCCCCTGGGGACACCAGAGCCACCCTCCCCTGGGACTGTCAGCCACAGTCACCAGACAGTTGTAGTGGCAAGCACCTTTGGGTTAAGTGGAGTCTTAAACGAGTTTGAGCCCAGCAGCAGTGGGAGGTAGGAGGCTGAATGCAGCTGTAGTGTAGAGGTGAAGTCGGTAAAGGTCAGGAACAGGCTGTGGAGAACCGTGCCACAGCCCTGGAGCCTGGCTCTGCTCTCAGCTGGAGGCTGTAAACCAGAGTGGAGGAGCGAGTCGGGGCTGCGGCAGCTCCAGCACACGGCTCCCCCAGTCCCCGGGGCTGCTGCGTGGGGCTGGGCACGCTCCAGCATCACCTCCGCTGCTGGCTCCAGGCTGCAGGCTCCTTCGCGCCTCGCCAAGCTCGGTGCTGGTGTCTGGTGTCAGCCCTGCAAGACGCGGGGGGGGTTTGAAACAAATCCTTCTCGTGTAACCGTTAGTTCGGTGCCGCAGCATTGAATCCCAGAAGGAACGTTGTGCTTATAGGCAGACCTCCTCCTCGCTGGCTCCTGCCCTGGCTCCCACGGATGGGAGGACACAAGGCACTGGAGCGGCGTGGGAAGAAAGCCTTCCTAGCCCGGGGTGGCGCTTGCTGGCACGACGGTGGAGACGGTGAGGCTGCTTCCAGCTAAAAGAGCCCGGTGCTATCGCTGCGTCCGCCACCCTGCTTCTGCGATGGTCCCCGCAGTGCTGGCACTGAAGGGGGAAGAGCTGAGGCGGGGGGCGAGGCCCCCGTGCAGGCACC